TTTGACATTATAGATTTAACAGTGAATACTTCCGACAGTAAAATTCCTGATTGGGTTTATACAACTATGAGAAGAGAAAAGCAGTGTAGTCTGTGAAAGATAATTTTTCCTCGTTTCACAAGAAGCCGGTACGTGAGAAAGAAAGTGGCATTGAGGGGGACTATAAATGATATTTATAAAAAGAATGGCGATAAAAATTTTATAAAAAGTATCTTCTCCATGCTTTGTCTAAATGGAAAAACATTAATTAAAAAGGCAGAGCTGCATGTATATATTTGCGAACCTTGTTTCTGACACTTATCTTATTTGCATCAAATAGTTGTAAATCTCATTGTGTTTCTTTTATATTGAGAAGCAAGCAAGAATAAGTGAAAGTTCTTAACGTGCGATTCTTGAGTTTTATAATAATATTTTATAGTAATATATCTCTCTCTCTCTCTCTCTCTCTCTCTCTCTCTCTCTCTCTCGTTTAACTGAACTTTTAATTTGATCTCTCATCAAAAAACAACTTCGGAAGAAATTGGCGTGTAACATAACTTTGTAGTTCTCTACAAATTGTTAATTTTTTTCCTCAATATATTTACCTGTGATAAAGCTGAGATATATTACAAATCCGATATTGTTTGCCAAGCAATATCGATCTTGGTGGAGGCATAAGAGGAATTTCAATAGCCGCGCGTAGGATGAACCGGGCGACCGGAAATAACGCGGTTTCACTTGCCGCTTGTATAACCGACAGTTATCGCATGAAAGTCTTGCTCCTTGGATCGTGCTCCTCATCGTATTATAACACAATCGTTCATTGAGACGCGACTACAGTGATTCGCACGTTTTGCTCTTCTTTTTTCTCTTTTTCGCAATGAAGAGTCTTCTTATTTTTGTTCCTTCCGTCTTGCTTGCGTCTGATTTGAAACTTTCAGCGTTTGAACTCACTCTAATGATAATGTTAGTAATATTAGTAAGGATGATAATAATTAAAGTTACTTCATACGTTTTCTTTCACTTTGCAGAAACTTGTTTTTCATTTTCAAGTTTAATTTAATTAATCAACGGTAATTATAAAATTAAATTTGCTTTGTCAAGACTTTGGAGAGATTAAGGTTTAATTCTTTTTAGGAATGATATCCTTAGAATCTTTAGCGAGCTGCAATTAGTTTTTTGATCCGTGAAATTACGTAAATGTTAAGAAACAATGTTTTGCAAAATAAAACTCACTTCATCAAGGGCTGACCCTTTGATTACTGGAGCTTAGGCGCGTAAACCGGCATAAATTGCCGATTACCGTTGCAAACGACCACTTCCGTCGATGAAAGTAATTAAGCCCCGGCGCGGCGTGGGCTGCATGACGGCATGGCGATAATTCTTGGTGAAGCTCCTCTCGCTCTCTTAGCTCATTACGTAAATCGCCGCATAGTAACTCTCCCCGCGAGCAAACGAGCGATGTTACACAAACGCGGCGGGATCCTCAATTTCCGTCGTATCGCAATAATTCGCCGGCATTCCGCTGCGGCTTCTCCAACCGCGATGAACGAGTTTCTTGTGGCCGTACAAAGGTCGATTCATTGAGAAATCAGTTGTACCGAGTGTTCCACAAGTGAAAGATTCTATCGAAAACCGTAAAAAATCCTGATATAGTGTGCTTCAAATTACTTTCGAGATTCGCTCGAGATAGCTCATTTCTTCTGTTTTTTTATTGTCAAAAACTTATTCCAGATTTGCCGAAGGAACAATTGCGAATAATTCATCGCATTATTTAAGAAATATCTTGTATTGCGACTAGTATGAACCCATCACAAAGAAGTCTCAATTTATTGTATTCGACAACTTCGCTTTATTTAGACTCGATATCCGAGCTCCGAATTCCGATATTTGTGCAGAACCTTTTGGAGCAATTCCTTTTAGAGAATCGACACGCGACTTAACGAGTCCGCTTGTAATGTTGCACAACGAATTTCCCTAATACGATCAACGTGAAAACAGGTCGTTGGGCAAACTGTTTTTGCAAACATTGATAGAATATTGGCTTTACCTTTGTTAGAGAAACTCTTGCTCACTTATAAATTTAATTTAACTGCAACCCGATTCTCTTTGTTTTTATTTTTCAAAACAAATGAAACCGTGTTGGCGTGATATTCGTAGAAAAAAAAAATTGATTTCGAGAGTTATTCAACGTTTACGTTTCTCTCCGCGTAAATTGTAAAACGAAAAAGTAGTTGAAGTTTAAGTTAAGAGTTAACATGAAGTTATATTTAATTTTCCCTTCTTATTATTGATATTTACCAGAAATATTTCCCAAGTGAAATTACGTCTCCCACTCATTTAGAAAGCAAAAATTTTTTTTATTAAAAACAGATGCAAAAAAGAGACTTTAGATTTTTCCAATATAAAACCTATTTTTTTTAATATAAAACCTATTTGCTCGAAATATTTTATTTGCTTGATGTCCATGTCATATGTATCTCATATCTGTGTAAATATACTCTTTCGCTTTTATATGAACGAGTGTCGTTCTGCTACTAAACAAATTAATATTGGATGGATATATTATCAGCGATAATACGTTATCAATCGACTTTAATGATATCGTGAAAAACATTTAATTTTTGCTCTAATTAACATTCCATTGAAAATTACGATATTAATGAATTTTCAATTGTAAATTAAATAACGAGAACAAAGAATATGGAATGTACAATTTTCGATTGTACAATTTTCGAAAATTCTACTTTAAAAGAACTTTTCAAAAAATAATAACATATAACGACAGATAAATACATTTCTGGGAAATATCCGCAATCTTGATAATCGCGAGATAAAAGTACTGGCATGAATCAAAGCTGAATGACTGGAATTCTTCCATTCTTGACACTTTTATTTACCGTATCAGACCAGTATTACACGAAAAAAAATGATAAGCGATGTCTCGACGAGGAACGTTGCTGAGTTCGACGAACGTCGACCGCACTAATTGGCGTAATTAATTGCAAACTTGATCGCGATGAAAGTAAGTGCTTACGTAAAAGCGAATTGTCGAGATGCGCCTTTGTGACTGACGACGAGCGAGAGTTCGCAAAAGACGATAAAGATCGATTACCTCACGCGAAATAGCGACAGTGAAATAATATTTAACGATCTTAAATGAGGCGAGACCGTGCAGTTTTCACCGGATTTTTATTTTATATATTAGTCGAATAAAATTTGGAATCGGGCAGCCACGTTTAGTGCTAAATGTGACGCTAAATATAGGGAGCGATGGCGGCTAAGTTTGGATCCGATTAATGTATTCACGGTAATACAATTATCTCTTCTCGTGTTGCAGCGATAGTAATTTAGCGTTAGAATTTTTACGTTTAATAAAATATCGCGAGAGAGAATCTAAAGCGGCGTGGACGAAGCGAGTTGTTCTTATTTTTAATCGCACTTCACATTTCTTAGCATGCGTCATCCGCGGGATAAATTTGCTCGACATGGTATCGATTTCTAATAGACGTCTGAAGCTCGTTTATTAGACATAGGCTCTTTATAACTTGATTTGCGTAGTATGGCACCTACAAAGAGTGACATTTTATCGATCTTCGAAACGAAAATGTATTCCTATCTACCTACGATTTCATCTATTTATTATAAGCTTTTATTCTATCATAGAATTTTTTATCTCGACACTTAAATCCGCTTGTCGTACGTTTAAGGGAGAATCAGAATACTACTTTCTTAAATAATCTCAGTGCTATTCTTGCTAATTAAAATTTATTATACGACAGATATCTTCAATATCGGCGGTCACAATCTCTAGATGGAGCCTACGAACGGAGACCGTTGTAATTCCCGCACGAATCAACTATTATGAAGTTATCGATCTTACTCGTTGGTACCAAAATTTCCTGTAAAGTATCGATTTAGAACTTTATTGAAATAACAATTTAAGATAATTAATTTAAGATATTAATTTAAATCCAAATTTTATCAGTATGTTTAATATAACAAAGAGAAATAATGATTTTGAACACATCTCTATTAATTTTCATTTTCTACAAATGCATAATAGCAATGTAAAATTCTTTTCTCAAATTTTATAAATTATAAAAATTTTTATTCTTTCTCTTTAAAAAAAGAAATCTTAACATAAAGATTAAAATAGCTTATTCGAATGTAAATAAATAACATTCATCATAACGTAAGAATAATAAATTATTGCAAAATTGCTACAATCTAAAATTATGTAATAACGAATATGCAATCAAGTTTCCCGATATTTTCAGAAAGTATAAAGAGTTAGAGAAAAGGATTTGAAAGAAATGGACAAAATTGTTCATTTTGTGAAAATGTTTATTTCATAGGATTACAACAAAATCAATTAGGACAATATACGAAGTATTAAGCGCGTTTATCTATTGTCTATAAACAGCGAGTTCCTACTTCGGAGTATAAAGTAATATTTCGTTAAACTTTGTACTCCATACCGCCTTTTTGTCTACTCTGCGAGTCTCTAAAGTTTGTTCCTTTAAAGAATCGCAACGGAGTAGACGTTGACGAAACTTTACGAACTCGCGATGCGAATTAGTAAAGTAGATTCGGTCAAAGTGCTTTTCGTCAAAATCAAGCTCGAAGATCTAGTTGCTAAAATTCAAAATAGAAAACCTATAGATGACAAGAGGATATCTGCGAAGACAGAATATCGACAACGAAAATGTTTCACGAGTTCATACCTGGCTGGTACGTGATTTTTAACACTTTGCGGTCCGCATGTTTATTACATTGTCGCATCATCTGACTACCATCATCTGACTGAAATAAACTAATTATAAGTACGATTATGATACGAACTGAACTACATATTTTTTTACCGTAAACACTCGCAACATAAAAGCACCTATTAAAGTTCTTTTGTTTTGTTTTTAATTTTTATCTGCGATAACTGCATACAATATAATAATTGTATGTATTTGTCAATAAAACTGATATTCTTAGGGCACACAAAAAACTTATGCAGTAAAACGTAAATGATAAGGAAATCAACATGTTTGATTTGTTATTGTTTATGCTATGGCCTTATGGTATCTACTGTCATTGGCCAATTTGCTTACTACTTATGTTTTACTGCTTAAGTTTTTTGTGCCATGGCTATTATGTGATGGCATCAGCAGACCGCAAAGAGTTAATCTATAATGAAGCACGATCTCAACGAGGGAGCTTTACTGTCATAACTCGCTCTGAAAACTGAAAGCTCACGAATATCTAAATCGACTTCGTGGCACTCGGATTGTACAGTCTGAATTCTACTTCGCGATAAAGTCTCTTCAATCAGGGTTTGTTCGGGGCACTTCTAGGCCTCTTCGGAGTGGCGTACTTGACGCATAAGAATCCAAAAATAATCAGCACAGCGACGATAGCCACTCCGATGCCCAGCCAAAATTCCCCTCGCACGTTTAACTTATCGAGGGCGATCTCACGAAGAGCCAACGCACCGTCGGGTGGCTCGCACGCTGCCTGGATGATGATGTCCTGCCGTTGGATCTGCTTGGGCTTGCAATTGGCCAGCTTTCCCACACTTTCGCTCTTGTGTAGACGCGGCAACAGCAGTGACAACGACCACTGCATTGGGCTGATTTGCTGATACCACGACGGCAGATTGTCCAGGTGCAGAGTCACCCCGCCGGCCAAAGTTATCTCACCCAACACCATTCCGGCAAACAACGCCGCCAGATAGGTCCACTTGCACACGTGTGCGAAGAATGTGCAGATAAGATGCTGCAGTATCAAATATAGTAAACCGATGGCGAGGTAATTCCACATTGACATTAGGTTCTCATCCGGCACAAGATGCAATCCCGACATCGCAAATGCTGGCGCTAGATATATCAGGTAGACCATACACCAGCACGGCAAGCTGCAGATGAGCTGGAAATGGAACGCATTTTCTTTATACCTTTCGCTACGAAAAAATTCGAGATTTCAATGAATCTAGGCTTACCTCTGCGAGAATGTACATGAATCGACCATAGAGCCCGTCCCTGATGTCCCTCTCCACGTTTGGTCTGCTATTGGCCACGTCGCACATCGCCAGGAGGCTCAGAGGCCAGAAAAAGATACCCAAACTAGCGTAATGATAGCCTATTCTGTCTCGTAAATATAGATTTGATTCGCTGGCGATATCCCAGAATATTGCACCGAGTAGAATACTGAGCGAGGCGGAAATGACGATCTTCCGCAGCAGTCTTGTTAATGTCCACGGTTGACTGTAGATGAGCGTTCGTAACAATAGCGCGTACAGTTGTACAAATATATTGGGTCCGGGCATCGAAGGCGGAAGTGCACCGGGTGGACCAGGATCGCTGATAGGAGGTAGCCTCGTTCTAGCTAGCTCCGCCAGATGATCTATCCTCTGCGAGGACTCCAGCATCGCTTCCGCCGACAGGTCGTCTAGCGTTACTAAATCAACTAGAAAAGAGAAAGAATTCTTTTTTATCCATATTATTTATTATAAAAAAAATTATAAATTTGTAAGAAATATCATTTTTGGAAATAATTTTGTCAAAAATATTAGCTGCGTTTTCATGAGACCTTAGAATTTAAGTAAGAAAATTTTGTTACGTACGATAGTAATCGGACGGATTCTTGAATGGCGGACAGGGGAACTCAGCGAGGGCGAAATATGGCAGCATGTCTCTTCTAGGTCCGGAGTACATGACTCGTCCGCCGGACGTGAGCGCGACTCTCGATACCATCGTCAGGATCTCGTAAGTGGGCGGGTGTAGAGTCAAGACGACGAGACGTTGACCGCGGCTGGCCCACTGTCTCAAGTACTCGACCAGGAAGAAAGCATCAAAGATGTCCAGACCGTGCGTGGGTTTGTCCAGGGCGAGGATGTGCGAGTCCTGAAGCAGCCGGCAGGCAAGGGCTAGTCGTCGAGCCTCGGAGGTCGTCAAGGTGTTCACCAGGCAGTGTTTGGTCGCCTCCAAGCCAAGCTCCTGCAGAATAGCCTCAGCTTCGAGTGTGGTGGTATTACGGCCACCTCTCAGTAACATGTAAAAGCTGAGAGTCTGCTGAGCAGTCAGCCCGGGGCTCAGACCATTCTCCGTGGGTAGATAGGCGACGCGAGATCTATTTTGATTGCAATATTAATAATAAATGAATCAATCGTTCCGGGAAAGGCATTTAACGATGCTTCGGATATCCGAGAACAAGAATTAAATTATTAAAAATAATTGATTGACTATATCCGGATATCCGGATCACCCAGATAATTCGGATTAGTATAAAAAGAAAAATGGAATTTAAGTAAAAAAGTCCCACGAGAATTAAATGATAATTTTTTATGCATGCAATATTTTAAAATGTATGATGTAACTAAAGGTTGTTCGAGTATAAGTGCACGAAGAGAAGTTGCAATCCGCGGAGATCAAGCATGAAGCAATAATTAAATCGGCAATTGAAGCGATAATTGAATAATGAGTAGCGCTCGTTATTCACCTTATTATTCGACTCTATTTGTAAATTTGTATGCTAATACATTCGCTAGTTACAGTCTGTTTCGTTAATATCGGTTACCGTTAGCCGTAGTTAATTAAATGTTTCTTTTCTGTTTGGATCATAGCCGGTGCTATGATCTAGAAAGGAACAAAGAATCAGTCAACTAAGTTGAAGCTGACTCACGTTAAACCAGCCATGGATCTCTCATTTAACTATCCTTACATTTTATCTCATTTATGATCATGTCCACTAATGTGGATTAATTTTAATTTTGGATCAACTTACTCTGCATCTTTTTCTAATTTTTAGAACTAGATGAGTAATAAATTAAAGTTAATCTGTATTAGTGGAGCATTAATTGTTTTCATTTTTTATATAAGCTTATTATGTATAATTTCGAGCGTAACTGCATATCGATAACAAAGAATTAACCAACATTATTTGAGAAATTTGATTTTCGTATTTATTTTAAAAATAATAAATTTTACGCGGTGCACAGATAACAAAGAAACGTTCCTTTCACAGAGTAGTATTACCAATCACGTAATACATTTAATGATTCATTGCCACGTTACAAGAAAACGTACACGTGCTACAAGGAGATTAGAAAGTACCTTAGGCTGCGTGCTGATACAGATCTTCCATTGAGCAAAATATCGCCCCTTTTTATACGCCTCCTTCCCGCAATCGTCTCAACGATCTGCGTGCCTTCCTTCTCGGTAGTCGCCATAATAGCCAGTACCTCGGCGGCACCGGCCTCGAGGGTAATACCACGAAGAAGCGGCAGTCCGTCCGAGCCTGAAGCCTCCACACCTCGCAGCTGTAGGTGAGGATGCTGCAGACACGGCATCGGTCTCAATGGCAGCGCGTAACCTTCTGGTCCGAGGATACCATGTCCTATAGAATAAATGTACGTCGCTCATAATACTTCAGATTTGTTAAAATCCCATGATTTAGAATACTAAAAGAATCAGAAGTTTTTTCAACAAACTAGGACCTTTCGTAAAACTTTCATCGATTTAAGATCAATTCCGTGATTAATAGAGGAAAAACTGCAAGAAAGTGCGTAATTTTCGGGGTTTATGAATATTAAAGATAGTCTAGAAATATAAAGAGACCAAGGCTTTACAAAATGACACTAATAAATAAAAAGGAACATTTAAGCCCACGCAAGATCTTTTTCGCAAGAAAAATAGAATAGATTATTCTGAGAAAAAGATCTTGCGTGGGCTTGAATGCTCCTTTTTATTTATTAGTGTTAAAGATAGTCATTTATTTTCGTTCATTGTTTTCTTTTACCGTGCGCTATGTAACCGGGATCGATCGGCGCGATGCTGTGTCGCCGGTTGGTCCTGACGGCACTCTGCAAGAGATTAGCCTCGCTGGCACTCCTCAACCTCGGATGGTCCCTCGCGACAGTTAATTGTGAATGCGCTGGCTCCCTCGGGACAGCGTGAACATGCCTGAAATCCGGATCGCTTCTTGCTGAACGCATGATCGAGGTTGTATGCACTGGAGCACCTGCACGTCGAAGTAGAATTTGTAACACGTAATCCTGATAATCTTCAATTTTATCCAGCAATCCAAATTAAATGACGAATTGTAAAATAATATAGAACATTTTTAGAATAGCTTAATAACTTATTTAAAGTCTCCTAAAAATGTACAAAGTCTTTTTCAATGAGAAATTGATTCACAGAAAGAACGAAGAACTTTTGACTGAAGTATCTAAAAATGTAGCTAGATATAGATATCTGAAAATAATTTCGTTGGACTGTCAAAATAATTATGTAGAACGCTCAAACTGATTATTAGAATGTCAAGACTTTTTACATCATTACTCATCATATTTTAATTTCCTATAATTATTTGAGAAAATTGTTTGATTACATTAATTAGAATTCTGGTTGAAAATGGGCGAATCAGAATTTTCTGGTTAAATCTACTAAGTTCTAGTTGTGATAACCAGAATTCTGATTGATGTAATCAAAATGTTCTAGTTTGTCCATTTTCAATCAGATATTTTTCTTAGTCTAACTACCTAAATTTTTAGATATTTCAGCAAAATCATTCTTTCTGTGTTAAAGAGTGCAATAGAATAATAATGAATCTGAAAAATGCAGTCAATATTAAGATCTCAATTTTAAATATCACCGCTTTTACCTGCGTGCGACACACGTCGTCCTTCCTCGCTGGAGTCGTAGCCGCTGGAGCCGTCGCGATTCCGAGAGCTGGGCGGTAAAACGCGTGGCAAACCGAACTTCAAATACGTGTAAGAATTGTTGGCCAACGGACTCTTAGGACCATATCGCGGATGCCGCAGTATGCTCTGCACCGTGGAGTCGCGCAACTGAAAGTTCCCGTACGGAAGCGGCGACTTCTCGGCAGAGCCGAGCGCGGAGTCCGTGAAGTCGGAGTTCAGGTTTTGCCTGTGGAATCACGGAAATGCGTATACTTCGCGCTCGTCAACATTCCCGTGTTTAATATCTATTCTTTGTATACAAGGTATTTTTAGATAATTAGATGAGAGAAAAAGAGAGAGTTAATTACATGATTAAAGTACGTTTGTTAGATGTGTTTAAGTATGCTATTCATTCCCCTGAACCTCTACCGCGAATTATTTCAAAAGAACAAAAAAATTGAAAAAATGGCAGTGTGGTTTAAAGTATTGATATTTCCCGTTAATCGTTATGTTCCGTAGTCACTCATGCTTGATAATACTCACTGACATTTAATATTTTTAACGATAATAATGATACCGTTGATGTAATACATGAAAGTACATATAGTATATTGTAAATCAACAAGTCCGATCGGCAATTCCTTTCACATGGAGCGGCAAAAAAGATGACACAGCAATGGACAGCATTCGCTTTGGCGTTCCGCCTCCGGTGAGACTTGGATTGGACAACGTACGGTGCATATACGCGGATTATACGCTTGCACTTTAACTACAAATGGTCACCTGTAAATCGACCATGCGTGCAGATCCTCGCTGGCCGGCGGCTCCAACCCCCTGGTGTCCAAAGCTCCCGGCACCGAGTACCTCCTTTCCAACTCCCAGGCCTCCGAGCCCATGTTTTCCGGTGGCTGCACAGAGATTACAGATGCGACCGGTTAAATTTTTGCGAATTATTACAAGATAACGTAATATCTCTCTTTTATTTTAATTACCACGCTTTAACGCCGCCGAGGGGGAAAGTAAAGTAAAGACACGCTCTCTCTATTTTATCAGTTTCAGTTTCGAATTCGATCAGATTGTATCGATTAACCGAAGTAATTATGCTGCAATTTTCAAATAAGAAAATAAATCTTTTATTTGGAACAGAATCGATAAAATTTCGATATGCATGAGATAGTATATTACTAGAGAGATAGTCCTATAGCGAGGATATCCTTGGAAATGGTAATATTCTTTTCCGAAGAATCACATAAAACATACGGTAGACGTCTGACGAACAAAATAAATTACACTGCAAATTTTGCGAAGAAACTTTCGCGAACATTTTCCTCGCATGGAAGACCTCTGACGTTTGGTATGAATTTATTGCTACTGCCGCCCTACAAGGACGTCCGCACGAGATTGGATTTATTGCGCAACACGTCGGAAGGTTGTTATTAAAGCCTCCCTGCGCACAGAATTTCTTTCACGTGTATCCCACCGCGTATCTACTTGGCTCATTCTGGAAAGTCCTGTAAGATCGAGTAACGTGCTCACGGCTGATTTGACTCACAAGCAAGCACCGAGTAATTTCAAAGGCGTGCCGGGATTATACGAGATACCGGCGTTCTCAACAGTGTATTCCGTGGCCGGATACAGCCGCATCCATCATCACGATTTCATGACGAATTTATGCTCGTATCGTTTAAGCGTTGAGAAAATCAAGGAGCAAAAGAGAAGCTTATCATCGAATACGGCTACATTAAATGAAAAAGATTCTGATACGGAATTGCAATCAATAAAGGGTTATGATATATAATCAAGGATAATAATAAAGAATTAGATTTTACTTTTCTACACGGAAAAAATAGTTTGCTGAAGTATCTAAAAATAGGTAGATACAGACTTGAAATAATTTCGTTGAATCATCAAAATAATTATGTAAGAAACTCAAGCCAGAATTGTTAGAATGTTAAAACTTTTTGCAGCATTGCTTATTATGCTCAAAATTCCTGCATAATTATTTTGTCCAACAAAACTATTTTCAATGTCTAGCTAAATTTTTATAAATATTTCAGCAAAATCGTTCTTTCTATGTAGTCTCCAACATACAGTGCGTTTCGAAATATACTAACAGAACCGAAAGTCTATAATGCATAGCAAGTATTCTCTAAATTCTTTGGAGTGAAATTTAAAAATGTGAAATTTCACTAAAGAGTAAAAATTATTCTAAAAAAACATCTCTTCAAAAGAGGCGAAGAATTTTCACTCTTTTGAAGTGAGACCCCAAAAAATTTAAAGAGTATGTTACATATATATATATATAAATCATTATTTAAGAATGTTCGAATGATTATCCATTTTTTTTGTTAAATTACAATGCGACAACTTCGCGTGCGACGAATTTCCTTCTTTGGAATTAACTCTGACTGTGTCGATAAATCGCACGCAGTGTTCTACTGACTCTTCGGATTCTTTTCCCGAGAAAAAACTACAGGTATCCCGTAGTTCCCGCCGGCGAACAAAGAGGGATGGCCTCGTCGAATTTTATCGCGATGCAGCAAATTGTTCTTTGCCCATGCTTGATCGTCCATAAAGAACGAAACGTGCAGACTGCGGAGAATGTATCTCCCTACTGGTACACGCCGTATAGTCACGGTACATACTTGTCTGCCAGTATTGTTAAGCATCTATAAATATCTACTGGATCTTTCACATTTTTTTCTGTATATCACAATTTCCTACCTTTCTACATCTTGATCACTAAATTACTACCAAGCAAATTGACGAATTACGTCTCTAGAAATATTAGCTTTTAAATATTACGTCGCAATTCGAGATTGGACGTCATTATTAGAATGTCAGTTTTAAAACTGTTATTCGCTTTTTGCGTACACCAACACCGATTCGAACATAAAAGGCTGATGGATCGTGGCAAAAACCGCGATAGAGATAGTAATAGATATGTGTGCCGGAAATTACCGCCGGTGGCAATATCGTGGCGTATAACAGTACGTTTAATGTCGCAATTATGAAAAGTGGCACCGCAAAATGTCAGCTAGTTACAGGCTCCAAATAGCCGGGAAATCGATAACTGACTGGGGTTTCCGTATTTCGCCTTCTTCTTATAAACAGGTATTCTGGATCGTTTGCTTTTACAAACCGCGGAGATCTAAATATTCGCTCATTTTCTTGCATAATATCTCACACCGACGCGTACGTAGGCGATAATAACTTGTTAGATGTTATTACATCATAAACTTTCTCTGTGTACAAGGTCTCTTGCATCCTTAATTTGTCACATCTCGGAATTGTATAACGTGGACTGTATAAGATATCAGGACAGTATGAACTCCATTGAGTTAAATAATATTTTGTTGTTTTTAACTTCCACGTATGTCGAAATATAAATCCATTTCTGTGGTTAATTTCGCTATTCTGTAGTAAATAATTAATAAAGAATATAGAACATCAAAATTTTAATTTGACAAAGGCTCTCAAATTCAATAGAATTAATTTTCGATGTAAGATATGGGCAATTGAGAGCAAACGCAGTTAAATTTAGCATATATCTACACTCTAAAAAATGTCGGTTTAACACCGATGGTATGGAATTTGACACCAATATGGATGTCTATATAATTCTCATCGTGTTGATGTAAAATCAACACCGTTTGTTCGGTGTGAATGATTCGCATTGTTGCGGTGTGAATTTCCACACAGAAAACGTGAATTTTAACACTACTGGCGATGTGATTATTACATCTAAAATGGTGTTAAAAACACTGCAATAGTGAGTTTATACCGTTACGTTTACTCTTATACGCTATATATTTGACTCAAACACGAAGGTCGCGACGGTGTAAATTTCACAGTTTATTTTTCGTATTTAGGTCAAATTTAGGTCAAATATAAATATATATATTTGACTTAAATTTGAATCAAACACAAAAAATGTACTGTTTATATCTTGTAACCTTCGTGTTTAAGTGAAATATAGCGTATATGAGTCGAGGAGTAAACGTAACGGTATAAACTCACTAACATATATATGTATATATATATGTATAATTAGTATTATACTCTGTATTTGTATTCATGTGTATTATATATATGCATTATTGATATTAAAATAGCATGTGTTTTAAGATACGAACTAATGTAACCTCAAACACTGCGCTATAGCGATTGGTTCTTTGAAGTCACGTGTAGCGCAGTCACTCTGCACGGTGCAAAAACAAATAATGCCGCATCAAAATTTGACACCGCGTTTGTCGTGTAAAAGATTCACCATATCTTGGTGTTAAAATTCACACCAAATTATTTAACCACATGGATGTGGTGAAATTTCACACCGCTATTTTTTAGAGTGTATTTCTATATAATAATACTAAATAATAAGTTTATAACATTACTTCTTTATTAATACAAACATTTCGACTTTGTTTAAGTCATCTTCAGCGTATATCACTGCTTATAATTTAAAATTTTCATTACTTGGTGGGTTGAGACGATTGCCAATTCGAGTATTGAGAATAATCTCCTTAATCAACTGTGTGACTATTAAGATCCAACATACCAAGTATAACATTGTAGGAGCGCCATAATGATAATATACAGTTAAAATTGATTAAATTCATTTTTAGAATATTAATTACGTTAGAACATATTCCGTGTCACAAATTCAAGTCCAATTATTTAGTATTATTATACAGAAATAGATATACGCTACATTTAACTGCATTTGCTCTCAATTGCGAGTATTGAGAATAATCTCCTTAATTAACTGTATGACTATTAAGATCCAACACACCAAGTATAACATTGTAGGAGCGCCATAATGATAATATATAATTAAAGTTGATTAAATTCATTTTTAGAATATTAATTACGTTAGAACATATTCCGTGTCACAAATTCAAGTCCAATTATTTAGTATTATTATACAGAAATAGATATACGCTACATTTAACTGCATTTGCTCTCAATTGCCCATATTTCACATCGAAAATTAATTCTATTAATAAAGAATGTCTATATTAACACACTGTCAATATACACTTACAATTACTAAATATAATAATAAACTATAGAGTGAGATTTAATAAATTTTTTTGTGTTAAATTGTTTAACTCTTTATTAAGTAGGAGCAGTGGTAATCTATAGAAATGATTAAAAATAACTCTAATTGATATAATTTGATATTACAAATTTAACAATGTGGAGATCTTTTTTGTGATTCGATTAGCTCTCAACTTTTCACAAAACGCACCCAAAATGGGCTCAAGTTTACGTTTTAAAAATTTCATTCTTAAATAATTGCTGCACGTCATTTTATTCTATCTTTTATTCCAACAGATATTTTGTTACTTCACTATGGCTAGAGTATTCATAGTCGATTCTTATATTTAAAACCGTTTTAAAAACAGTCTTAAGATGTCGTATGCTAATCACAGAGCTGTATTAGTATCTTAAGGCATTACTTAAGATACATTCTTAAAATAAGAACAAACTATGAATACCGGTCTATATATATTTTATCTTTTACTTCGTTCTTTTTTGAGAAATTTTATATCTTTTATCGTATTTATTTTCTATTTTTCGCCTCATACTATTTTTTTCATATTCGCATTTATAAAATGTATCTGTTTTGCATGAAATAAGCTGCGTGTTTTAATTTATCGCAAAAATTTAATCGCAAAAGTTAATTACCATCTTTTTTATCGTTTAATCACAGTCTGATTATATATGTTGCTTTCCGCATTCCGTGTTGCGGCTCATCGTGTTCTACCGAATAGCTGTCAGGGACTCATCACCGTTATCAGAAGACATGCTCGTGCTAGGAGTTTTGTAGCATCAGGAAGGCGCTCGCACGAAGGATGAATATCATCGTTTGCGTGGGGACACGTGTACACGTATGCCTAGAAGG